AAGTTTTAAAAATATTATATAACAAAATAATTACTCATTAAATATATTAAAAAGAATTTAATTTGTCAATTACTTAAACATTCAATTGTAAATTTTTTAATTATACTATAAATAAAAGATTTAAGTTTAAGAATATATAAGTAAGGTGAATATATTAAAGAATTACAGAGTTATTATAAAATTCACATTAAAAAATGAATCTAACTTTTATAATATGTTTTTTTTTTTTTAACATATTTTGTAAGGGGTGGTTTCGAACTTGCTAGGAGAAAATGCACCGATGACTAATGTCACTAAACTTTAAGGGTCATGTGCAACTTTTATAATATGTTAAACAAGACGAAAAAAATGAATTAAATTTTTAATTTTAATGATTTAACTTTAAATTTTAGTATTTAAATTTAATTAATTAAAAATTTAATTTTTACAACCATCATGAAAAAGTTTCTTGTTCTCTATAATTCCCAAATGTTATTTTTTTTAAAAAAAAAGGGCGTGGGGGCACTTGCAACTTTAGTCGCGATGGTAGTGCACCAACGTACCTGACTTTTTTGTTTCAATTATCAATACATTAATATTATAATTATTTTTCTTTCTTCCAATTTTTCACTGGTAAAAAAAAAAAAAGAGGGTGGGGTGGGGTGGGGTGTGGTGTGGAGGGGGGACATCAAAGAGTGGTACAGCTGAGCAGAGGAGAACGTTTACCCACATGCCATTGAATAATACTTTCAAGTTGAAGATTTGAACCTCAACTCGGCCTTTTGTACTATTTGCTGTGTATTAAAATAAAGAAAGAAGAAATGGAAAAACACCACTGAAAAATTAATGACGCAGCAACTTTGACGTAAGTGTGGGGTTTAACGTGGAGATTTGCCGCGAAACCGCGGACCAAGGTCTTTTTGATTAGTGGCATACTAAGGTAATCCGATCCTTTGTGCTAATTACTAAGTAGGTATATGTTGCCGACAGTCAATCAAAAACAACTTGGAAACTTCAATGAAACGAAGACACGCCTCATACTACCATTTGCAAAATTCCAACTGCAGACGGTGCACTCACCTTTTTCTTTTGAAAAATAACAACAATGTAGTATGGTTCTTTGATGCATGTTTTAACACCTATCCCCTTTGTTTCAATTTATTTAATGTTTACCAACGAAATGTTGGATCAAGTGGTAAGCGACTTGTTCCAACTTAAATAAGGTATCGAGTTCGAGTCCTTGTATATGCAACAGCCTCGCTGGGAGACTCACCCACCATTTCCAGGTGCGCGACGCCGATCGGGTCCAGATTAGTCGGGGCGAAGTCTCGGATACCGGGCGAGAAACTAAAAAAAAAAAAAATTTATTTAATGTTTTAGACGGAAATTAAGAAAAATAATTAATTATTTTTTAATTAAGAGATTTTTAAATTTAAAATACCATTATATCCTTAAGTCTAAAAAAGGAGATTGGGTAGTTGAAGAGAGGAGAGAAATCAATAAAAAAACAATAATGAGGATAAATTTGAAAAAAAAAATTAATGCAGTCTTGATATGCTAAAATTTAAATTATTTAGGAACAATTTTTTCTCTCCAAAACTATTAATATTGTGGAACAAAGAGAGTAATTGGCTTCTTTGAAATTTATTTATTTATTTTAAATCAAAGTGTACTTAGAACAAATTACATGCACTTGAGAAGTTAATATTTAAACCGTTTTAATTTACATTTTATATTGACATGTTATATTTAAAAAAAATTATATAGAGATATATTAACTTTAAATTTTATATTTTAAGAATGTGTTTGGTTAGAAGTCAATTTTTTAGAAAAATTGTTACTAAAAAAAATTTAAAAATTTTAAAATATTGAACAAAAAAGTATTAAATTTTGTAATATAAATTTATTAAAAATTTATTAAATTATTAATTTTACTGTATTTTGTAAAAAATTAATGTAAAAAAATTATTAAATAAGTTCAAGATAAAAAAATTGTAAAATATTTTTTTCTTAATAAAATAGAGAAAAAAACTTTCCCGTTAACAATTATATTAAAAAAATAAAAACTAAAATTATAAATAATTGTAAATTTTTTTTCTTAATAAAATAGAGAAAAAAAACTTTCCCGTTAACAATTATATTAAAAAAATAAAAACTAAAATTATAAATTTTATTTGTTATTTATTATAATTTTAAAATATATAAATATCAAAATATCTTTATAAAATTAAAAAAAGAAATCTTTTTCTTAAAAAAAAAAAACCAATCATCCTTTAAATTTAACATTAAAAAATATTTATTTACTAATAAATTTAACATTAATTTTGTTTAAATTTAAATGAAACCCTGGGAACTTGCAGATTCTCCGTTGTACTTTCACTTTGAAACATTACAAGATATTTGTAGCACTAATCGAATTGTTTAAGTTTAATCGATAAAGCGGTCAATATTTTAAATCAAGCGTCCCACGTCATTGCATACGCAATTTAACGCTTTTAGTTTTTTTTTTTTTTAAACTAGTATGTTATTTTTTTTTTTCATCAGTTGATTCCATCTTCATCCGCTGTTTCACGTGCCACTACTGTACACTTAGTCTTGGCATCACTCATTGGTTTCCCAACAAAATTTCTAAAATTGTTCTCCAATATAAATGGGAAATTTTTTTTTATAATTTTTTTATTTCATTTTTTTATAATTTAATATATTATTAAATTAATTAATTTTTTAATTTATGTAAAATTTATAATATTAAATATATTTATTTATTTAATGATATATAAAAATTATATTAAAAAATAAAATAAATAAATTATTTTTATAACACTCTCCAACATAAATATCTTTCTCCTTTTTGTATTAAAAAAATATTTAGAGCCGTACAATTACTTAACTGAGAACCAGACACGTGGAAACCAACTTTCTTTTTTATCCATTTTTTTCGCTACTAACTTTCGTTTCCATCATGATTCATTTACCTTGCTTTCTCCTAGCATTTCTTTTTTATTTTTAATAAAATAAAAGTACATGTCTTTTTTATTTTATAATTTTTAATCATTAAATTATATAAAAAATTTAATTCTAATTTTAATAATTAATAAATTAAATTAATATATATGATATTAATATTAAAATTAATATTAATTTTGTTAATTTTTTATATAATTTAATAATTAAAAAATATATTAGCAATACTCTTAACTTAATGCATCAAAGTACGATTAAAAAATAATAATCTTATAATTTAAAAATAAAACTTTCTCTCTTTTATGCCTCAGGGGCCAGGGCTCAAATCGCAGGGTAGAAAAATGAAGCCTATAGGCTGGAAATTTTGTATTTCGGACAATGTCGTTTAAGACTTAAGTTGTTTTTAATGATTTTTTCTATTGGTGAAATGATATTTCTGTTTTTTTTTTTTTTTGAAAAATACCAATAGAGTTTAAGGTATTCAGTACTAACTACGTGTTTGATTTTTATTTTTTTTATAAAGGTAATAATTAATAAATTAATATTGTTAAATATTAATAATTAATGATTCGATCTTTACATGTGATGAATAACTTATTGACTCCAATAAACACCGATCTCAAATGAAACACGCAGTTATCAAATCGCTTGATGGAGTTCGTATTTGATCCTTATTGGTGTAGAATGACACGTTTTATGGGCTAATCTTGTGTTTCGTTGTAGGCGATCATGCGTGGTCGGTACAATTAGTGGATACGTGTCAAGTTTGGTTTGCTTGCATTTGCCGATTGTTGGGGCTGCTGGCTGCCTCTCATTTTCACAATCGGCTCTGGGAACAGGTAGTGAGTAGTGACGGCTTACCTTTTGCAGCTTAGCCGGTACAACTTAATTTATTTATATGGAGTTCAATTTTTGTTTTTTTTTTTATTTTTTATTTTATTTTTACCTTGATTGACTCTTTATTATAAGAGAGAAATTTGAATCTATCGCACTATTAGTTGTGATTCATTTAAAATATGTGTTTTATATATAAGAATATAAAAATATAATTTATTTTGTTCATAAAAGAAATACTTTTTATTTTGATTTAAGTGGTTAAACATATATAATATCATTTTAAAATTTGAAAATA